ATTTCGAGGGAAGGGTTTTGGAAATCCTTAACAACTGGATAAGAAAGAGGAGATTTTGAGGCCCAATATCAGTCATTTTTGCGATTCGCACATGTCTCTTTCATAAAAATTTTGGCATCTGAAAAGAGGAACCAAGGAGGTGCGGCAATTTTGCAAAAATTTTTGTTTGCGTTTGCGCCTCTATCTTAAAGCCAAAGGGAGGTTTTTGAAAAATCCTGATATATTTTGTTCTCCATTTAATTCTCTATTATTTGATAGTATTTTTATATTATTTGATTAAGTTTTAATAAAGTTATGCTAAAAAATATGTGGGCCATTACTTTTGGCGCACCCTGTAATTCTCAACAATGTTCAGGCAAACCTAATTATAATTGCAAATATGGTCCCTAAAATTTTTTTAATTTAAAAAATTTAAAATTTTTAAAGTTTGTAATGGAATTGACTTTTTGGTTGAAGGATTGGAGAATAGTGATTATGGATTGAGTTTACCTACTTCTGATTATCAGAGAGGCCGTCCTGCTAATGTTGAAATTTTTTAATTAAACAAAAATATATTTTATTTCCACGTGGTAAGGAGGAAATGAGTTTAAGCTGAGTAAGAATGAAAATTTAAATAGATTCTGATAGAGCAGAATCTGATGAATACAATAATATAAGAAATTCCCCTAAAAAACAACTGGCTGATTTTTAGAGGGTCTCATTTGTGAAATTTATGTAAAGAATTTAGTAGGCAATCCACTCTTCCTCATAGCTTAAAATTTGTTTACAAAAATATTTAAAAATGTTAAACTTTTGTATGACAAAGAACTTTACAATCAAAATAATTTTTATGATTTTATTAAATTTGGAAGTTTTGTTAAACCTTCAGCCAAACTTTATGCTTACACAATAAATTGTGGAATACATGTTGCTAATGCTTACAAACCTTTTTTGAATGGTTGTTATGAAAGTGAAGTTAATATACAGAAATGATTTTAATTTTTAAATAAATTGGGATTGGATATTGTTAAAAAAAGTTGAGTAAAAATAAAGAGAATAAAGTAAAAATGGGTTAATTTAAAATAGAATAGTACAAGGTCTAGGTTTTTTGAAAAAATTTTGAAAGAAAATTTTCGAGACTGGCAAAGCCGAAATCTAAGTTGAGGGGAAAATATAGTCCAGAAACCAAGTTGAGGTGACAGCCGAGGTTTCTATGAAGGTTTTATAAACTATAAATATTTAATGAACTTTACTAAGTTTATCCGAATATTCACTAAATCATTTTTAAATTCAGTGAAAATTTTAACTCCAATCGTCGATCTAATGGGAATCAAATCTGTTTTTAACAGTACGAGTTAACTTGTGATTTCTTAATTATTATTTGAATTAATTATTAAAATATCACAAGTTCGTTTCCAGTACGAGGCTAATAGCCTACCAGTAACGAAACATTTTAGAAATATTTTATTTCTATTCGCTTTGTTAAAAGTTGAGCTATCAGGATCTATTTATTATATTGATAACTAAGGCGTGTCAAAACATGCAAATGCATATTTTGCATGAGGATATGACATGAGCTGAAACGCTCAAAAATGGTGTTTTTACATCGGTACGAGCACTTTAGGACTCGGTTTTTAATGCATATATTTGCATATTTCGGCCATCTCGTGCATATTTGCATATCGATGCATATTTTGGGAAATTTTGCATATTTTTACCTAAATTTGTGCATATTTTGGCATTTTTTGAGAAATTTTAGTTAAAATATGGCAAAATTTTCAAAATTTTGGAATTTTTTGGCAAAAAAATTTTGATAAAAATTTGTTGAAAAAATTTTTTCGAAAAATTTCTTCGCGATAATTTATAAAAAATTTTTTGGCTTGAATTTTAAGTTCATAAACTCTTTTATAAGTGCTCTTTTAGAAGTGCGAATTTAGTATTTTTTAAGTTTAAACATTTATTTTTAAAGAATATTTTCATTATTTTTGCTGTATATTTAATGCATATTTTGCTGCATATTTTGGACTTTTTCAATGCATATATATGCGCATATTTTGGGATTTTCCGTGCATATTTTGACACGCCCTATTAATAACATTAAAAATTTTAAAAAATCATTTCATATCCCCTTTTTATTTATCAAAATTCATTTAAATTAATATGATTAAAGAATTAATAAAGCATTAAAGATGATAGTTTTTAAAGATAAAGAAAAGAATTTAACAGCCAAATTTTGGAAAAGAAAGTATAAAACGTTCAACGTTTAGAAAATACTATAATTTCACAACATTTTTTCATTCTCACATTCAGCGACACTTTTTATTTTTACCACACTTAAGACCGTCACAACAGGTACCATACATATCACAAGATGCTCCTGAAGGAGTACAACATGCACCTAGAAAATGTATATATATAATTAAATCTCATTTCAAGACATTTTTCTTGTTATTTATAAATCAGTATTTCCTTATATACAAAATTCACCTCCTTTACAAACTAAATTGTCACAACAATTAATTTCGCTATCACAAATAAATTTGTCACAGGTCTGTCCAGACTTATGATGAACGTTAGTATAAATTCCAGCAGTGTTTAATTGGAATAATATAAAAATTGAAAGGAAAAACAAACAAATTTTGGTTGAAGAGGAAAACATTTTTTTATTTAAATTTTTAAATTATTAATTAAAATATACTTTAAATAATAATAAAAATGTATGAAGGGGTGATCAAAAAAATTTTTTTTAATTTCAAATCAAGATAAAATAAAAAATTTCTTTATCGTTTTGCACCCTAATTAATTTTTATGGGCGAAATGAAATAAAATGAAAATTTAAAAATAATTATTTTTAACCTTAAAAATGTTTAATCGTTAGTAAAATAATAAATATGTAGCTCTAGATGAAGATTTCAGAAGACTTGCCCCTTAGCCAAGTAATTGGTTATTGGACAAGTCAAGGAAAAACTGAGACAGCCCATAAACAAATCCAGTACCCACAAAATTTGAAAATAGGCAAAATCCCGGCCAAACTATGATTAAGGATTTCCGCAATCCGTAAATACTTACAACTATTTAAAATTTTTGGTTTAAAATTTTTTGGTTTGTCTGTACTTTTTTTAATTTTTAGGGGGTAATTAACAGTTAAATTGCCTATAAATTGATAAAGAAAAATGCAAAAGCTGCCTAATATTTTTTTATTAAAGAATAAAAATTTCTATAATTAATAAATTCTTCCAAACATATTTTTAAAATAAAAAAATATATTAATAATTTAAAAAAGGATTTAATTAATTAAAATGATTTATTACCTAACTCGACATAACTGTATTTATATTGTCTAATCTGCACTTACTTTAAGAATTCACTCACTAACATCAGATAAAAATTTTTATAATATTTAAACAACTGGGTATTTTTATCGGTGGATTTAAAGGGATATCGGTATTTTTGCCCAAAAAGTTGAGTTTTGAAAGGGTTTATTTTCTATTTTTGGTTTTAATGGTAATTTTGGCTAAAATTTTATTTTATTTTTTGCTAAAATTTATTATTTTTGTTTATTCAATTAAAACCAAAAATTTCGTTGGGAAAAGCTCATGACTTTACATATCGATGAAAAATAAAATTTTATTTTCAAGGATTTATTGACTATTTTGAAACTCAAAAACGGCCTTATCACCATATGCTAAAAATATGTTTTTTGGACGTTTCAGAACCCAACGAGGCCAGGAAAAAAATATGGAAATCCATATGAATCCCATCCCTAATCATGACACTATTGTTTAATTGAAATAATACATACAAACATTTTTTGTTTAAATTTTTAAATTATTAATTAAATATAATTATTTTATTCTGAATTTTTGGATGTTGGAACTTGGAATTTGGAGGCGAGAATGACTGGAGAAAGGCATGATTATATTCATTAAATTATCAAATAAATCTTAAAGATATTGGCGCTGGTCTAGTTTATGCGTCCAATGAAAAGTTTGAGTCCAATCAACAAAAAATTAAATTTTCCTTAATATTGTTAAGTTGGGGTATGGTTCCAAAGCATTTCTTCATATTTGGGAAAAAAACATTTCTTCTCTCTCTTTCTTTAGAATTTCTGTAGCGGAAACAACACGTTTCGGTAATGATAGTTTTTCTTTTTATTTTATTGTTTCTGGGTCGCTGTTCTGGGTTTCTGTGTCTAGGGTCGCTGGATTCATCGAGTTGAATCCGATTGGTTACTGCTTTTAGTATTTTTAAGATAAAGGTCTGTTCTTAATAATCCAAAAGTTTAATATCGTTCCTGAGAGAAAATCTCACACGAGGAGGTGCGAACATTTGACAAAAAATTTTTCGCGCGATTTCTACTCTGTATCCAAACAAGGGGAGGGAACTTCGAAAATTCTTAATTATACTTGATCCTTAGTTATTTCTCTATCATGTAAATTTTATTTGATCTCAATATCCTTAATTTGAAAAAAGTTATGCCATAAAAAGCTTGTCCTAAACATTTCTTGTCACCCTGTAATATTAAAAATATTGTAATTTAAAAAAATCGTTTAATATCCCCAATGTTTTATTTGACAAAATTCATTTAAATTAATATAATTAAAGCATTAATAAAGCATTAAAGAAAATAGTTTAAAAAAAAGAAAAGAATTTAACAGCCAAATTATGAAAAAAAGTAAAAAAACGTTCAACGTTTGGAAAATACTATAATTTCACAACATTTGTTCATGCTCACATTCAGTGACACTTTTTATTCCTACCACACTTATTACCGTCACAACAATTATTTTTCGTCGGATCACATATGTGCCCTTTACCATAACAGGTATGGCATTGTCTGTCTAAAAAATAAATATATATTCTATAACCTGCTAAAGCCCGGAATTATATACCTAAGTATTCCTTAACGGAATACCGACGAAATACCGATAAATATCGAAAAAGTATCAAAATTAATATCCCTTTTTCGTTCTTCGTACCGTATTATTACAAGGTCGCCGGCATTAAATTATTTTCTGGGTTCTATAAATAATATCACATTTCTCTACATTTTTCTAGCTATATTCAATTCATTATTTCAAATATCCAAAATTTACTTTGACAGCTACGGCCTGCACAACATTCAGCATCCTCACTACAAGGTGTTCCTAAAGCAGGGCAATCAACACATACCCCTAAAAGATATAAGTATAATTAAATCTCCTTTCAAGACATTTTTCTCCTTATTTATAAATTCCTCATATAAAAAATTCACAATTCTCCTCGTCACATAGTAATTTGTCACAACATGGAAGAACTCCCTCACAATCTTGTCCATTACCACTACATTTCTGTTTAGAATCACAACTTCCACCTGTACAACCATCTACGCTAGTATTAGTTTCACCATTGTTTAAATGGAATAATATAAAAATTGAAAGGAAAATCAAGCAAATTTTGGTTGAAGAAGAAAACATTTTTCAATTTCAATTCTTAAATTATTAATTAAAATATAAATAGCCAAGGAGAGATTAGTTATTGGACAAGTTATTTTAAAATTATTTTAAAATTTGAGGGGTCAAAATCTTCTTTTAAACGCAGGGAAAATTTCGTAAAATTTTCTAAACCCCAAATCTCTTGTTACTGACTTATAATTTTTATTCGTTGGTTGGTACTCGACTGCGGCATATGGACAACTAAGACTTCCCATAAGCAAATCCAGTACCAGACAATTTGAAGATAGACAAAATCTCTTCCCGTTTATGTTTACGGATTTCATCTATCTCCAAGTTGCTAAATTTATTCAAGTTTTCCGATGAAATTTTTTAGTAAACTATTAAGAATTTAACTGATGATTTAATTAATTAAAATTATTTATAACCTAACTCAACATAACTTTATTTATATTGTTGTCTAATCTGCACTTTTAACACTAAGAATTCACTCACAAACATCAAACAATCCCTTGGTTCAAATTTTAGCTATAATATTTAAACCTAGCAGTTTAATAGAGGGCAAAGTTAAGTTCAATATTTTTCTTCTATTTTTGTTTTTAAATAACATTTTTAGCTAATATCTAAAAACTTATTTTGTTTATTTACGTTAAAAATTGGATTTAAAGGTAAAAGTTAAGTTTTTGGTTCAAAAGATGAAAACAAAATTTGGTTCAGAAAGGCTTATGATATTAATGAAAAATAAAATTAAATATTTATTTAAGAATTTATTAACTATTGTGAAATCGAACAGTCTTTTCTAAAAAAATAAAAAATTATTTTTAAATTTCTAGTCTGCAAGGATTTCTTCAAACATCAAACAATCCCATACCTCCTTTGCTTTGAACCAAACCAAAATTAGTTTGGTTCAAAAAAGCTATTTTTATTATTATTTATTTATTTATTTCATTAAAGTACCAACTATTTTAATGTTGGTTCAAAAAAAGTTCCAAAATTTAAGACAGAAAAGGCCAAATGAAAATTTAAAAATTTTTGGATTTTTAGCTATCTATTGTTTTATTAAAAACCTAAAAAATTAAACTTAATTTAAAATTCTTTAATGTAATTATTCTCCATTAAATTTTCAAAAAAACATATTTTTAAAATTTAACAGAAAGGCAGGAAAAATTTTCTCAACTATTTTTATTATGGAAATATTATTTTTCTAAATAGTTAATTAGTAGAGCTGTGATTTTTATGCAAATGCATATTTTTTTGCAAACTTGGCATCATGTATAAAGCACAAAAAACACTGTTTTAGCTTGGTTTGAAAACTTTAGAGGGGGTTTCTATTTGCATATAATGCATATTTTTGCATATTTCAGACTTTGCTGCATAATGCATATTTTACTGCATATTTTGAGGTTTTTGGGGAAAATATCGCGAAAATTGCCCAAAATCCTGCCAAAAATTAAAAATTTAGTAAAAATTTTGAAAAAAATTTGTAAAAATCAATAATTTTGTAAAAAAATTTTTTTGTTTATTGGACGTGACCCAAAAATGTCCCACCCCAAAATGTCACACCGCCAAAACGCCACATCTCAAAATGTCCAACAGAGTAAAAATACTCAATTTGTTGAACAAAACATATAAACTTGGAGTAATCTTGATAAAAATAGGTGTTTGAATGTTTTTGACTAAGAAAATGTAAAATTTCTAGGTATAAATTGTATTTTTATTGCATATTTTCGTGGTTATTTTAGGCTTTATGCATAGTTTAGTGCATATTTCGGCAATTTTTTATGCATATTATAGTGCATATTTTGCATTTTTTAATGCATAAAATTCACAGCTCTATTAATTAGTATTTATAAAATAAAATATCTGCTTTTCTATTTGAAGATTTTTATACACTGTGATGCAAAAGTTTATATACACTTACTGAAAATTTCTTTAAAACAGTATATCTCGAGAAAAATTCGTTTAGATAACATGGATTATTTTTAATATTATTAAATGAAAAGTGCTCTTTCTAATGAGCTATAAATTTAAAAATAACCCCCAGTACTTATTGAAATATACGCCTGTTTCCAAAACTGCTTCAATTTTCTTCGGTGCAAAAGTTTATATACACTTTACAAAAATTGGATTTTTGGAAAAATAAATGGCAGAAAAAATACAAAAAAATTCTGTGGACATTTCCATCTATATTGAGTTTAAAATAAAAAAGAACGAAGTCTGTAACTGTTTTCATCTTGGAGATCTCAAATCACAAAAATCAACGGGAAAACGGCGTACAGTACTTTAAAAATTATTTTAACCCCCAAGGGCTTATATAAATAATGTCTACTTCTCTAATTTTTTAAAAATTATATAAAACACTTAATTAACCTAGTGACAAATTTTTCCAAAAATTTGTCTAGGCAAACACCCTCACAAAATTTTGGATATTGGAAGCATTTAGAGGCGAGAATGACTGAAGAAAGGCATATTCATTAAATTATCAAATAAATCTGAGAGATTTTTTGTGTTTTTAATAAAACAACTACAATTTTTCGTAAGTCCTCTTTTAATTAAAATATTTTAGTCAAAAATAATAAATTCATAACCTTGTAGAATTTTGTGAATAATTTTAATTTTCAAATTAACATTGAAATATAAATTAAATTGTCAATTTTATTTCTTTTTTTATTTTAAATATAAACAAAAATTTAAAAAAAAAAACAAAAATTAATTTTTGTTTTTTTTCAATTCTCATAAATAAATTTACAAACAAAAACTCGATTTTTTGCACTATTAATGAGAGCAAAATGTCTTGCAAAAACTTTAGTTAAATTGCGGGGAAGATTCGCGCATAAACAAACACACAACTAAATAATTAATTAATATTTACCGGAAGTCAGAGAAAAAAAGAAAATTTATAGTGAAGAAGTAATAAAGGAAATTAAAATAAATTAAAAATCAGAATTATTAAATTCTGATTTCTAAATATTTATCAGGATTTATTTTCAGAATTTATTATTATTATTTTTCTGATTATTTAAAATCAGAATTTTAAAATTATAATTCTGATTTAAAATTTAGTTATAATTCTGAAATTAATTCTGAAATTAATTCTGAAATTAATTCTGAAATTAGTTAATTCTGAAATTAATTCTAAAATTAGGCAATTCTGAAATTAGGTAATTCTGGTAATTAATTCTGAAATTAGATAATTCTGATATTAATTCTGAAATAATTCTGATTTTGTGTTTCACTTAAATAAAATAAGGCTATTTTTGGGAAGAATGTTTAATGAACCGAAGAATAAACAGGTTGATGATAAAAACCAGTTTTTAATTACTCAATTCTATTTTAATTATAAAAATGTATCTTTTTGTAATTTTGTAATTAATAATATGAGGTGGAAATATTTTTTATGATTTTTAAAATAATTAAAAATTAATTTTAATAATTATTCCAATTTAATTTCTCTATTATCTATAAAATAAAAATTATTTTTTTCTCTAATTTTCTTCATTTCCACTAGCAATTAAAAACAAAATTGCGCATTACTTCCGCCCAATCAGTCAATCGTTCCCTTCATTCTCTCCTCTCTTTTTTAGAATTTCTGTAGCGGAAACAACACGTTTCGGTAATGATCGTTTTTCTCTTTATTTTATTGTTTCCTTAAATAATAAATTTATTTTACTAAAATAAATTAAATAATTAAATAAATAAATAGACTTTGACCCAAAAATATTTACGTATTTTTATTGCTTTATTTTCTGATTTTTATTCCTTTAATTTTTTTCGATTTTTGGCTTTATTTTATTATAAACCAAAATTCTGATTAATTAAATATTCAGAATTATCTGTTGTTTTAAAATAATTCTCTTTAAAAATCAGAATTATCTAACCTGAATTATGAAATCAAAATTAAAAACCAGAATTATTAAATCAGTATAATTCTGATTATTTTATTGATGGAGAATTCTGATCTGAATTTCGAATAAAAATATTCTGATTTTATTATAAAATCAGAATATTTATAAAATCAGAATAAAAATAAAAGTTTTGATTTGTAATTTTGCCAAAAATTCTGATTTTTAATCAATTCTGAATTCTGTATTTATTTTGTATTTTCTCAGAAATTCTGATTTCTATTTATTTAGACAAAAATACAAATAAATTATGATATTCTGCAATATTTTTTTCAGAAGTCTGTTAACCTTCACAATTATTTTCTTATTAATTTTGACCTTAATTAATGCTAAATGTTTGTTTTTATTTTGATAATTATTTTTTAATATTAAAAATAATTTAAAAATAATTATTTTTAAAAAAATCTAAAATTTCCCAATTTCAGCTTCCAATTGCTTCTATCTACCCAGCATTGCATTAAACGGCGGTACCTATGACGAATTTAATGCTCCCGAAATTAAACAGTGTTGTATTGCTTGTGCTAGAGATCCTTGCTGCATAGCGTAAATTATTTAAAAGATTTTTTTTAATTTTTCTAAATTAGATATACATTTGATGAGGAAAATCATCGCTGTTTTATGAAATCAGCAATTTCAAATTCTTTTAAAAATACTGGAATGACTTCTGGATTAAAAGCTAATACACACCATGGTAATTAAGGCAAAATTTAAAAAATTAAGGAGAAATTAAGAAAAGTTTTAAATAATTTTTAAGGCCTCGGAGCGTTCTTAAAAAATATAAAAATCCATGGCGGCACTGCTTCCGTAAAAGTTAACCTTCCAAACAATGAGGATTGTATGCAATATTGTACAGGTAAATTTAAATAATTTAAATATAAATTATATTTTTATTTTTTAATTATTGCTTAGCTAAACCTTTAAATAATAAATTCATTTAACTCTTCTGATTTTTAAAAATAATTCTGGTTTTATTTAAAAATTCTGCTGTCCTTAAATTCTGTTTTATTAATTAATTTTCTGATTTAATAATTCTGTTTTACATTCCTTGAAAAAATTCTGATTTCAGATAATTCTGGTTTTTATTTAAAATTCTGCTTTTCTGTTTAGATAATTCTGCGGTTTTTCATTTCAATTATTCATTTCAATTATTATTTTACTATAAAAAGTTTAGATTCTGATTTTTAACTTTAAATTATTTTTATTTCGAAAATCAGAATTCTGAATTAAATTAATTCTGATTTTTAATTGTTCAGAATTCTGTTTTTATAAATTAAATTTATGATATTTGATTTTCTTCTTTTTCTTTTCGTTTATTTTTTAATTACCGAAATAAATTTTTTCTTAATTTTTAGCTTATGGAATATATTCGTGGAATCCTCTCCCACCAATTCCAATAACAACAACCCCAAATAATTTACCTACAAAAGAAACAACAACAATAACCAATACATCCCCTCAATTTACACCAATTAAATTACCCTCTGATGAGGAATCTTCTTCAGAAATATTTAAAATAAATAACTTAATAGAAGAACAACAACTTTTTCAGAAACAAGGGGAATGTGTTTGTATGGCTAGAATAGCAGCGTTAGAATATTCCTTTGGGTCGCGTTCAGCTATATTCCCGCCTGTTTCTAGTTTAAACTTGTGAAAATATTAAATTCTGATTTTATTTCAAGTTTAATAAATTATAATTCTGATTTTTATTTAAAATTCTGATTTTTATTTAAAATTCTGATTTTTGTTTAAAATTCTGATTTTTATTTAAAATTCTGATTTTTATTTAAAATTCTGATTTTTATTTAAAATTCTGATTTTTATTTAAAATTCTGATTTTTTAAAATTAATTACTTGTAAAAAAATTCTGGTTTGATTAATTTATATTTTAAATTCTGTTTTCTTTTAATTCTGATTTAATTTTAAATTCTGATTCTTAAATTCTGATTTTTAAATTCTGATTCCTATATTATAATTTATTCTGATTTAATTTTCTTTTATTTTAATTCTGAAATCGAATTCTGATTTTATTTATTATTTTAATTCTGATTCAAATTACCTATGTTAATTTCATAATTCTGATTTTATTTCTGATATAATTATTAAATTCTGATTTTTCTTATTTTTTTTGTTTCTGATTTTTTCTTTTTTTTTTAAATTAATTCTGATTAATTAGAAATGTATTTTTATTTGTTCTGATCTCCTTTTTTCATATAAACATTTATTCTGATTAAAATTATTTCTGTTCATTATTTAATAATAACGGAATTTCTGATTCTTTCAAATTTGTCGATTTATTTAATTCTATTTTTTCTTCACAAATTTCCTCATTTATTTGATTAAATAATTTCCTCACATTTTGGGTAATTTTGTAGATAAGAAATAAAATAATTCCAATAGCTATTAATTCAATTACAAATACAAAGGCAACGTATGTTTGATGTTTAGGGAACTGAAAAATAATTTTTTAATTAATTTAAAATTTATTAAATTAATTAATAATTTATTCCTTGTGGTAATTTTGCAAACAAAGTGATTATCAACCTAGCCACAGCGCCCGCACCCTAATTTAGTTATAAATCTACCTACATATGTATATATTCGAAAAATAAATTTATTTTTTTAAATTTAAATTTAAATAGATTCAAAATAATAAATATTGTGTTTTAAATTTTTTTTGAACTTATTACAATGCGTAATTTAAATAAGTACGAGCTAATTCCAATAACTATTAGATTTGATCGTACAGCTACAACCAAAATGTGTCGAAGCTTTCGGTGATACCCCCCTTAATTGCTTTTTTCTTTCATTCCCAATAATTTTCCCAACAAATTTGTTCAAAAATTATAAAGGAAAATTTTAAAAATTAATTCATTTACATTATAATTAGAAAATTCCACAAAAACATTGCTTGCATTAGCCACAGCCTCTCTAGCTTCAATCAAAACAGTTTCAGCTTCACTAAGTGCCGGTTCCATTTTTACTGTTATATTTTCCGTACCTCTAATTATTTTTTGAATTAAATAGCGTATTCGTTGAATGCTTTTTAGGATTTCTTGAATTTCTTTATCAGCAGAAATTTCAGGCATTTTTAATTTTAAATAGGAAGTATTTCTCTAATCTAATTAATTTTAAAAATTAATTTTAAAGGATAATTTTTCAATTTATTTGACTTAGTTTTAAAGAAAGAACGGCCTAAAAGTCGCAAAATTTCGATTTTCGATAACCAAAATTTTTGTACCAGATTACAATCTCTAGTTGTATTAAAAATACATATTTCAATGATTTTACGAAGGTGAAAAATAAAAATTTTGTTTTTAAATGAAAAAAATATTTTTTAAGTAAAATGCTTGAATAATGTCCTTATTAAAAAATATTAAAATATTTTTTAATAAAAAATATTAAAATACTTATTAAAAAATTAAAAAATACTTAAAAAATATTTTTTAAGTAAGAATGTTAGACTTTAAATTACAATGCCAGTTCAAATAAATAGGAGCTAGATTTTTTTTAGTTTTTTGTTTTCGTGATGATCTAAGGTTTCGAATTATGGAACGACCTATCAATTACATAATTACTAAAAAATTACAAATAATTGTTGAAATTGTAATATTAGCTAATGGTTTTAAAAATAAAATAATTTTTTGTAATAAAAAATATAAAAATAAAAAAAAATAACGGAGAAAGAAACACTTTTTCTCCACATCTTTACATGTCTCACACTAAAACATCATTCATTTATTTGTTTTTGTAAAAATAAAAAAAACGAAGAATCATTGAAAAAGGGCAAGAATAAAGGTAAAATATTTGTACAAATAAAAAAAAAAAGAAAAAAAGGTGAAAATCTTGTATTTATTTATTTTTATAGGGGAGGTATTATCGAGAAAAAAAATAAAAGAAAAAAGATATAGACGATGGGAGAGGAAAAGCTGCTTTTTTGCGATTATTTTAGTGAAAATACTTTGATATAGAATAGATTAGTAATAATAAAAAATAATAAATTTTTTGAATAAAAGTGTGAAAAATTAAAAAAAATAAGTTACACATTAATTAGAATTGAGTTTAAAAATGACGATAGGAGATAGAGTTAAGGATGATCCGAATTTTTCAGACCTAGTAGTCAGTTTCCTAATACCATAAAAACAAGACAGATATAGGTTGACTTTCGGTCTAACGATCGGAAGAATGCTGGGGGAACTTTTACTTGTTTTTTATTTTCAGAAATAAATTATCAAAAAAACTGTCAAGTAATTCAGCTATCAATCAAAAATGAATTAATCATTGTTTGTTAATGATTAAAAAATAATATAATAAAAAATAATTAAAAGCTTTATCCAAATAAAAAATTTTTATTTTTGTTATTTTTTTATTGAACTAAACAAACAATAAAACGAGTAAATTCAATTTGCGTTAATTTGCTGTCTGGCAAATAGCACCAACAATTTACTATTTATTTATATTTGACACTCTTAATTTTAGCAAGCAGAGATTGGAACTAGTTTTTTTTATTTTTATTTTGAAATTTATTTTTAAGTTAAAGTCGTAATTATTTTAAGACCCCCCATTTATTAGTCAAATTCTGATTTTATTCTTGATTTAATATTTGTTCCACCAACGGAACAAATTTAATCCCGATCGGAATTAGGTATGAAATCAGTTTTAGTTCACATATCGGAAATCGGAAATTTAAAATATTTTTGGAACTTGGAAGAAAACCCTTCTAAAAAGTTGTAAATCAGAAGGCAGAAGGTGTAATCTCATCCCAACTTCAATTTTGATATAATTAAGCTAACCTATTTAAAGTACCTATATTCTAAAAACAAGTCATTAACACAATTAAATTTAAAAATAATTTTAATTCAAATTTTAAAAATTTAATTTTTTATTTATAGAATAACATCCACAAAATTCAACTAATTTTCTCCAAAATTTATTTATTTTCTCTCAATTTCCCCTTAAGGCTTTAAAGTGTTTGTTTGTTGCTCTACTCATCACGCGAAAAGACTTTCTTCTCTTTCTCCATTTTTAGAGTTTTAGCCAATTTGTGGCCATTTGTGTGACTTTATTCTTCTACTAAACTTCTTCCCTCCCCTTTATTTATCGCCTAATTTTCTCCTTTTCCTATTTTCCTAAAATATAATCCAATTTACTCAACGAATGCTTTAGACAATTTTAAGCTGTACTTTTCTTGCTTATTTTTTTTTTGAAAATTTTAATCTTTAGAGACCGAAAAATAATTTTTGAAAATATATATTAAAACATCTCGAGGTTTTGAAGAGGAGGTTGGAGGAGGACGAAAAGGAGGATGGGGGAGATAATCCAATAGGACCAAAAAATTAATTTAGGTTATACATAGATTAATGGATAAGTGATGGTCAAGCTCCCGTCTTAATGGTCAAGCTCCCGTCAAGCCCACGGATAGACGGGAGCTTGACGTGTAAGTATTACCATTACTTACCCGTCTAGCTCCCGTCTATCCGTGGGCTTGACGGAGTAATTGTCAAGCTCCCGTCTATTCGTATAATTTTGTCAGAAAGAATTTAAAGCCTAATAAAATAAAAATCATTTAAAATTTATATTATGACGTTCCTGTTGATATTTTACGATCGTAATATTTTAATTAGACCATTTTGCCACTCTTAAGCAACAATTATTATCAAAAATAATTAATTATTTTTATATCTATTTATATGTTATAAAATTCCAAATTGTTTTATTTACTATTAAAAACTATTTATTTTACCCATCACAGTTGTCACATGTCACAAATAAATCAAAAAAATTACTTTTAAAAACGTCAAATCCCAAAAATCTTCAATTGCCAATCATTTACTTATATTTTACAAATTTGATGGTCACTTTTATATTTAAAAATAACTTATGTTGTCCATCAAAACGTTTAAAAAATTTTTTGTGGCCAATAAAATGTGTGGCAATTTAAAAAGATTTTAAAGTAAAAAAGCTTGAATTACCCGGGCATCTACTGCTAGCTGTCTCTTATTTTCTAAAGAATTTTTTTTCTTTTTTAAATGTGGACAATTGAAGTAAAAATGAGTGAAAAAAGGCAGGAAAGAATTTATTATATTCAAATATACTGACCATTGGCCTAAAAAAGGAAAAAATTATTAAAAAGACTCATGTTGAGGATTTGCTATAAATTTCCCACAGCTATCATAATTATTAAAAAAATATTTTTCAGCTTAGATAAACTAAAAAGTTTTGAAGATTAATTTCTATAAAATATTTTTTGAGAATTTTTGTATGAATATAGAGTTTACCTAAACACAACAATTCTATTGCGCACACTTGTTTAAAGATAAACAAGTTTTTGTTTTCCAAGCTTATTTATTTAATTCTGCTAAATTATTTCAAGTTTTTTTTTCTAGGTTTATTTTTTCAAGTTTATTTTTTATGTAGTTATTTCAAGTTTTATATCCTTCAAGTTTATTTTGTTTAGCATTATTTTTAACTTAAATTTCAAGTTTATTAATTATTTTTTTTTCAAGTTTATTTATTCAAATTATTCAAGCTTTTTTACAAGTTTTAATTTAAAGTTTATTTTTATTACTTTATTGTCTACATTTTATTTCTTTTTTTCTCATTCAATTTTCAGTTCAAGTTTATTATTTTTAAATACAGCTGCCTTTATTTATTTCAATATAATTTTAAGCATTCCACACATTTGTACATTTAATTAGTTTTTGCATTAAATAAGTAAATATTGACATTAATTTTATTTTTATTGAGAATATTTTAGTTTTTTTAATTTATTTTTTCTAATTTTAAATTTTTTTCTTGTAAATAAGGGGGTTTCTCTTAGTTTTTTTCTTTTTAAAATTTGAAATTATGTGTATTTACCTATTTAGTAGAGATCGGACCAAACAAATATTTGGTCAAATAAAATCAAATATTTGACCAAATTTTATTTGATTTTATTTGATCAAATATTTGTTTGATGAGTTTTTGAAGAAATTTGATTTTTTCAAATATCAAATAAATATCAAATAATTTGATCAAATATTTGTTTGATGAAGGTTTGAAAAATCAAATATTTGATCAAATATCAAATAATTTGAAAAATTATTTGATTTTCGTTTTTAGCATCTTAGATGGCATATTTTCCTTATAAAATCGATATGATAACCGAGATTTTTGCTCCAAGACAACTTATTTATTGTATCAGAGCATATCCCGATCACCTGATATCCCTATATTACTTCAATGTTGAGATGAGTCCCCTTTGTATAGTAATTTAGAAGGGATTTTGTGGATTAACAATGATATTGAGGGATTAGATGTAGATCGTGAGGATTATATGTAGATCGTTTTAGATGATTTGGAGATTAAGAGGAATTCTGTTGAATTAAGGGGAATATAGATGGACTTGCGGATCAAAATGTATATCACTGGATTTGGAATGATTAAGAGGATATCAGGGCATTTGGAGGATATCGAGTGATTAAGAGAAATAACAGGTAATTTGGATGGATATAGACGGATTTGTAGGTATTTTGGCATTAAGAGGGATATAGTGGGATTTAAGGTGAATATCGACGGATTTGGAGGATCTTAGGATTAGAGAGATATAAGGGGATTTGGGATGGATATCTACGGATTTGTATTCTGTGATTAAGAGGGATATAAGCGACATACCTATATTATTTCACCTCTTAATCTCCCCATATCCTCTTATATCCCCCTTAAGCATTACTTCCATTATATCACCCTTAATCCGTCCACATCCATCTTAATCCTCCGATATCATTTCCATATCCTATTGTCCCCGATATACTCTCAAATACACAGATTTATATGGTATTCCAAAATTTTTAAAAAAATTTGATATTTGATCAAATATTTGATTTTGCAAATCAAATTTTTTCAAATATCAAATAATTCTCAAATTATTTGATCAAATATTTGTTTGATGACTTTTGGGAGAAATCAAATTTTTTCAAATATCAAATAATTTTCAAATTATTTGATCAAATATTTGATTTTGTCTTTTGTCCGATCTCTACTATTTAGTTTTTAACTTTATTAATTAAAAACTGATAATTCTCAAAAAATTTTATTTTAAGAATAAATATGTAGACTTGAGAACAGATTGAGACGTATTTCGATGGAAAATCTCGGTTATCGAGATCAAGAATTCTTCGAGATCTTAATTCTCGAAAGAAAAATTGTTGAGATTTATCGAGATCATGATCTTGATTCTCGTACGTTTCTCCCAATCCGGTCTCTAATGTAGACCGCATTGTATGAGATTTTTATGAGATTTCATAATATTTTTAAGATTTATTTTTTTATTTCATAAGATTCATAAGATTTCATAAGATTTTTATTAGATTTTCCTACGTAGGAAAGAGGAGCTATCTAAGCGTTACCCACATATTTAGATGTCCATTTGTTTTTGATAACATTAGACAGTCTCAATCATTATACAATTATTTTTTCTATTATTCTAAAAAATATTTTTTAAAATTTATTTAATATGAATGTTCCTTCTATCTTTTATTTTATCAATCTATATATTTATTTTTATTTATTTTTATCGCTTCAATAAACCCTTGCCATAAATTGGCAATATTTCCTTTTTATTCTTTAATAATATTTTGGCATAAAAATATTTTTATAAAAAATTATTTTTGGTCCATTACACAAATTTTTGGTCAAAATCTTTTTTTCTTTTCTATTCAAAGTTCCTTTATAATTTTTAAAAAATAATTAAAATTTAAGTTGAATTAATTTTTAAAATTCAATATAAATTAGAAATAATTAAAAAAATAATTTAAAGTCACGAACCTCTCTAATCCTCATAATAATTGGCCATTATTTTTCTATTTAATTTCTATTTAAATACAAATGGCACGAGTATATAAATTGTTTTTATTTAAAAAATAATGAGAATATATTTATTTAAGCATTATTATTTTATTATTTAAATTTAATTATTATTTTTAAATAATTATTCGAAGTTAGGTATTTTAAAAATATTTTCAAAAATTATAAAAATATTTTTAATTTAATTTAAATTTTAATCATTGGAGCTCGTTTTTATTAGTACCTCCTAAAATTGGATACACTTTAGATTGTAGTATTTTTAAAATTTGGCTTTTGATAGAAAGGAAAATTGGATCTGTCTAACCAACAGAGGTCGGTCGGATTTCCGAGTTCCGACTTTTGAGCCATTTCCTATACCTGACAGTTCCGATTCCGGCACCTTCGTCATTTCCGACCGACCTCTGCTAACCAATACACTCAATTTTCAATAAACCTCTATTTTACTTACACTTTTCGATTTATTCATCAAGAGTTTTCATCAATATCTACAATAGAGACAGACTGTATTACAAGAAAAATAATTTAAAAAATCCTGAAATTTAATAGTTCACTTTCAAAATAATTTCAAAAGATTCTGCATTATTAAAGATTCTGCATTAAGATTCTGCATTATTATTCTGCATTATTTACTTATGCGCATACCTTAAAAAATAAAAAAATTTTTCTATTAACGACAGAACTTCAAAAAAAAGTAAAAAAAAAATAACAAAAAAAAGAAACAAAAATAAAAATAAAAAAATTTTTGTTTAACTGTTGACAACTTTTTTTGGCAAAAAAATTTTTTCAAAGTTAATGGCACGCATATTTAATTTTTTTTTCTTTTGTTGCTGTTCTTATTTTTTTTCTTTTTTTTATTGTTTTTAAAATAAAAAAAAAAGTTAACAAAATAAATTTCACAGAGGGATTTTTGTTGGAACAAAAATTGAGTGAAATATTTTATAATGTTTACTTTACTTAAAATATAATTTTATAGTTAAATTTCTTTGAAAAAAATAATAAAATTTACTTAATTTTTAATTGTAACTTTATTAAATTCAAAAAAATAATTTAAAAAATTTTAGTTAAAAATAATATCTAAATTTTACATAAGAAAAGTACATGTCCGTGAGCCGCGTATCCATTTTCCTTAGAACTATCAATTCTATTTAACTATCAATTCTAAAATTATTATCCCAACTTCGAAATTTTAATGTTTTCAATATTTAAAAAAATTGTGATTTTAAAATTAAATAAATAAAACAATTTTTCATTAATTATTGCAAATCATTCTAAAAATAATTTAATTGTTTTAAAAATAATTTTTAAAAAATCAAAAAAAAAATTTTTTTTAATTATTCTTTTTCAATAATTTTTCCAAAATTTTAGTTTTATTATTCTTACTAAAATAAAAATAAAATTTCTATTTTTTACTTAAAATTAATTTTTTAATTGTAGCATAAAATAAAATGCTAACACTAATATTAATTATTTTAATAATTAAATTTTTTGTATTAATATCCCATCAAAATTTAATAATAAAAAGCGACACGGCTATATGTCCGTTAAAGTGTTTTTGTAATGAAGGTAGGATTAAATTATTTTTTAAAATTAATTTAAAAATATTTTTTTAAGAAATACTATTTCTAAAAATACAAAATTTTAAATTTATTTCCCTTTTTTCTGAAATTCTTTTTTATTTTTGAAATTCAAAGTTGAGGACACTGAAATTTAAAATTAAGTAAAAATTAAAGCAAAAATTAATTTAAAATTTTTTTAATAAAATTTAAAGTAAAATAATTTTAATTCTTTTATGAAAATACATTGTAAATTAATACAATTTAATTTTAAAAAATATTTTTTTCCAGAATTATTTTCCATTTATTGCTCAAATCTGTCTAGAACAGAAGTACGCCATCTTTTTATTTCTGGTTATTTTTAAAAATTAAAAAAAATTTTTAAATTAATAATTTATGGAGGTGCATTCCCAACACAATTTTCAGCTTCTTTACAAAATTTGAGCATTATAAATAGTGAAATTGAAAATATGGGAATTTTCCCTAGAATGGAGAAATTGTTAGTGCTTAATTTGCGTGGTAATAATTTAGAGCATGTTGGAATGGATGAGAAAAGTTTTAGGTAAAGAAAAAAAAATAAAACTTGTTTAGAATAAAGTTGTAAGTAAATAAACTTGTTTGGAATAAAGCTGATAAAAATAAACTTGAAAAAAATATAATAAAGAAACTTGTTTTAAATAAACCTGAATTTAAATAAACTTGAATAAAAATAAATTTGTTATAAATAAACCAGCGTTCGGCGCGAATTGCTGAGTAGTTTTAATAACTTTTGGGTATTAAAGCTGACTCCAGCGTTATTACACATGATTTAAATTAATTTGGATCAATTTCCCAGCATTTGAAATTTTCAGACTCAAATGTCCATTCTCAGACTCAAGTGACACCTTTGAAAATATTTTCATTCAACTCCTCATTCAATTCCCCATCGAATGACACCTCAACCATCTTTCTATGTCTAATACTTCAAAAGTTATAAATTTTTGAATTTAAGTCATAAATTAAACATGCGGGCCTTCGGCCCGCATGTTTTATGCAACGCGTTTTGAATTTAAAAAAATAATTTTAATTCTGGCGGTTGCCTCCGGCAACGCGTCTTCTGCAACGCGTTCCTAATTTTTAAAAAATAATTTTATTTTCTGGCGGTTCCTCCGGCAATGCGTTATCTGCAACGCGTTCCGAATTTTTAAAAAATTATTTTTAATTCTGGCGGTTGCCTCCGGCAACGCGTCTTCTGCAACGCGTTCCGAATTTTTAAAAAATAATTTTATTTTCTGGCGGTTCCTCCGGCAATGCGTTATCTGCAACGCGTTCCGAATTTTTAAAAAATTATTTTTAATTCTGGCGGTTGCCTCCGGCAACGCGTCTTCTGCAACGCGTTCCGAATTTTTAAAAAATAATTTTATTTTCTGGCGGTTGCCTCCGGCAACGCGTTATCTGCAACGCGTTCCGAATTTTTAAAAAATAATTTTATTTTCTGGCGGTTGCCTCCGGCAACGCGTTTATGGCAACGCGCTTCGAATTTTTTACAAATAATTTTAATTTCTGGCGGTTGCCTTTGGCAACGCTTTATCTGCGGCGCGTTACAATTTCCTCAAAATATAATTTTTAATTCTGGCGGTTGCCTCCGGCAACGCCTTTTCTGCAACGCGTTACGATTTCCTCAAAAAATAATTTTCAATTCTGGCGGTTGCCTCCGGCAACGCGTTATTGCAACGCGTTCCGATTTCTCTAAAAAATAATTTTAAAGCTCTGGCAACGCGTCTTTTGTTACGCGTTAAACCTTTAAATTTTATTTCAAAAATTTGTAAAATTAAATAATTTTATAAAAATTTTCAGTCCATGACTGAAAGTTATAAATGAGACTCAAGTGTCCTCTTTATTAAAAAAATTTTTTTTGAATTTTTCCTTTAATTTTCAGACTTTTTAAAATTTATTTTCACTGATTTTCTCCTTCGGACTCAAATATTCAACCCTCAGACTCAAGTGACCCCTTCAAAAATATTTTTAAAAAATTCGCCTGATTTTTCCACGTCGAATGTCACCTCAATCATATTTTTCTGACAACTACTTCAAAAGTTACAAAAAACGTCTCATCGTTGCTTAACTTTACAGATCGGACGGTCTAGATCGTCAAATTTTAAAAATTTTTTCCAAAATTTTAATTTTTTAAAAAATTTATAACTTTGTCCAAAAAAGCCCTAAAATCATAAAACAAAGCTTATTCGATGCAGAATTTAATTCTCTATCTTCCATCTCCCAACACTTTTCTTCTAATTCCAAAACAAAATATAGTTAATGTCACTTTTAAGCAATCTCCTCAAAATTTCAATTTTTACTCCATATCTTTTTGTCTGTTAATCCAATCAACTTGAAACCAACTTTTTTCTTAAGAAACCCACCATGCTTTACAACTTTTCTCCCAACCACTTTTTGCTCACACTTCTCTAAACACCTTAAATCCAAAGTTACCACTTTGACATAAAAGTTTGTGGATGGCATAACTACCTTTAAAGTTGCCCGAACGACTTCAACTCTTTTTCTATCATATTCGAAATATGCTCTAGATGTGCCCTCTCCACTGACCCAACTTTCCTTGACTTCATCTTTCATCTCAAATTTCGAGTCAAAGTTTCACAATTTCATGTTTTTTCAAAATATCTAATTTTTTCGCTTCTTGACCCCAACTTTTGGAGGTTTTCCTGAAAACTACATAGTATTGCGCATCTATAGCTTTTTTCCCCACCCCGATACACCCACTCAAAAGCTCTGGGGACTTTTTTTTAGCTGAGTGCCTTTTTACTATTATATATAGATAACCAGCGTTCGGCGCGAATTGCTGAGTAGTTTTAATAGCTTTTGGGTATAAAGGCTGACTCCAGCGTTATTACAATCAAAAGAATTCAATTTGGATCACTTTCCCAGCACTTGAAAATTTCAGACTCAAATGTCCATTCTCAGACTCAAGTGACACCTTTGAAAATATTTTCATTCAACTCCTCATTCAATTCCCCATCGAATGACACCTCAATCATCTTTCTATGTCTAATACTTCAAAAGTTATAAATTTTTACATTTAAGTCATAAAAACATGCGGGCCTTCGGCCCGCATGTTTTCCTGCCTCCGGCAACGCGTTCCGAATTTAAAAAAATATTTTTAATTTCTTGCGGTTGCCTCCGGCAACGCGTTTTCTGCAACGCGTTCCGAATTTTTCCCCGAGATTATTATTCATTAGAATAATAATCTTTGTAACAAAAAACGACTGAGCACGGTTAAAAACAGAAAAAAATCTTATGTTCCTACACATAATCTGTGGAGGACTGAGAAATTTTGGCCTCTAATTTAGAGCAAAAATTTTTTTTAAATAAACGGACAAAGGATTCGTTATCCCCGTCTATTAAACCTATTATGGCCAAAAATTAGAAAAGTTTCTCAAAAAAAATTTACAAAAATTTTTCAAAGGGGTACACTTATTAAATATTTCCGAAAAACTTTGATCTACCATAACTTTGTGAGTTATGATCAAATTCGAACCAAACAAAAATATTAAATAGAGTAAAAAATTAGAAATTTTTTAATGTACAAAAATTTCTGAAAAACTTAAGGTTAGAGGGTCTAAGTGTCGATTTTTTGAAAAATCAAAAATTTTTGGTTTTTTCAAAATTTAAACGGGTACAAGAAGTGTAGGTTTTTGATTATATTTTTTTAAAATAAAGCCAGATTTTATACCATAATAATCTTTAAATTTTGCCAAAATACCTACAACTAACAAAGTTATGATTTTTCAAATAATTTTCTGAAAAATCAACAAAAATTTTTGGCCAAAACTTGAATTTTTCTAAAAAAATTTTAAAGTGGTCCAAATGATATATCAAATGAAAGCTCTCAATGAGCTGAGTCTAATAATAAAATCAAAAAAAAATTCTGACCATTTTGTACAAAGTTATGAGTGACCAAACCTTGGTCTCCATAAATTCAGGCCAAGAGTGAAACTTTTTGGCCTCTAACTTGGAGGATAAATTTTTTTAAAAATAAACGGACAACGGATCCGTTATCAGCGCCAATTAAAACATAGAATTGCCGAAAATTAGAAAATTCTCTCGAAAAAAATTTTTCCAAAATTTTTCACTGGGGTACCCCTTATGAAATATTTTAGAAAAATTTAAATCGGCCATAACTTTGTGAGTTTTGCTCTGATTCAACCAACTCCGAATTATTAAATAGAGAAAAAAATTAGAAATTTTTTGAAACTAAAAAATTTCTGAAAAACTTAAGGTTTGGGGGTCTTAGGGTCGATTTTTTGAAAATTCAAAAATTTTCAGTTTTTTCAAAATTTAAAGGGGTATGACCAGAGCAGGTTTCTGATTATATTTTTTAAAAATAAAGCCTGTTTTTATACACATAATAAACTTTAAACTTTTCCAAAATCCCAAAAACAAACGAAGTTATGATTTTTCAAAAATTTTTTTGAAAAAATCGAGCAAAATTTTTGGCCGAAATCTCAAACTTTACCAAAAATTTTAAAACCTGCCCAAATTATATATCAAATGGAAGCACTTAATGAGCTGAGTATAAAAATAAAATCAGAAAAAATTTCTGACCATTTTGTACAAATTTATGAGTGACCAAATCTTGGGTCTCCACAACTTCAGGCCAAGAGTGAAACTTTTTGGTCTCTAACTTGGAGGAAAAATTTTTTTAAAATAAACGGACAACGGATCCGTTATCATCGATTATTAAAACCTATTATGGCCAAAAATTAGAAAATTTTCTTGAAAAAAATTTACTTAAAATCTTTCAAAGGGTTACCCCTTATGAAATATTTTAGAAAAATTTAAATCGGCCATAACTTTGTGAGTTTTGCTCTGATTCAAACCAACTTCGAATTATTAAATAGAGAAAAAAATTAGAAATTTTTTGATACTAAAAAATTTCTGAAAAACTTAAGGTTTGGGGGTCTTAGGGTCGATTTTTCGAAAATTCAAAAATTTTCAGTTTTTTCAAAATTTAAAGGGGTATGACCAGTGCAGGTTTCTGATTATATTTTTATTAAATAGATACTGATTTTATACACAGATTTTCATTTCAATTTTTCGATTAATTACGCATTTATTCCCCATTTAATTTACAATTCAATGTCTCATTCAATTTGAAAATTGGTCCCTATACTGTATGTAAAATCTGAAAATAAACAAGTCTATAGCATTTAAAAAAGACATCATCCGACCAAGGCTATATTTAATCAGACGCAATTGCATCCGAAAAAATCCCTTGATCGGTATTCAAGTCGTATAAACGTATTTTGCGCCCTGACAGAAACCCGCACTTGCGTGCTAAGGCTTTAGCAACCTGCTACCAATCATAGTAGAAGGAGAATGCCATATGCTGGGGCTTTTAAATCTTAAAGGTATAAATAAAATTCTCCAACATCGAGAAAATTTTTTTTCATTATCTTTCCTTCCGTACTAGGCAGAACTATCACCATCTTTCGTTTCTAATTCTGGCTCTTCACATACTTAAACGAATTCTAATGGATCCCTGGAAATACTAAGACTCCATAAAGT